TCTTTAATTATAAAAATGTTATGGTGGGTTGCCTTAATTTTTTTTTGTAAAACTCGAAAAATAAAAAAAAATCAAAAAATATTATTCTTGAAAAAAAATTATATTTTTATAGTACTTTAAACTAAACTAATTATTTTTTTCATAAGTAATTAGTTTATACAAAAAACATTTGGTACTACACTTTTTATTCATCCGGTACATAGTAATTAATGCAAAGTAGGATTTTACAACGCAACAGCTGAATATGATTAATCTGAATTTAATTTATTTCCTCGAAGAGCAATTTTTTCCGCAAAAACTTAACGTTAAAAATTCCGATTTAACAATTGGGTCAATTAAAAGAAAAAAAAAAATCGTATGTATTTTATTTTTTACTCCTATAATATACAAAAATTAATTAACTAGGGGTCGGGGGCAAGTTTAGAATTTTCCTAACAGCTTCCTCATACTGATCCACAGTGTATTGGTTTTCCCCTAAAATTCAAATCAAATAGTTTCTCGGCCTTAAGTCTTTTAGAACCCACCTTCGTTCATATAACGGTCCACTGCTTGTGAATATTGCTCGATATTTTCTATTTCTTTGGCCCCCTTCCCGAATAATTTCTCTATGCTTGTCTTTGAGGCATTATTTTCCCAGATATAGACCTCCATATCGGCTTCACTTTTCAGTTCTTCCCACGGCTCAACATTCTGTGAAACAACCACACAGTAACCCCATCACAATAACCCCCAAAATAATTACCAAAGATTCGTGATAAAGCGCTGTGATTAAATACATCGCATAATCGTAGTTTTGCTTCTTGAGAGGGCACCTGTCTGTCACAATAGTCACAATGTCCGTTTTCTCGTCGTACCTTTCCCCCACAAGCCTCAGAAACTTGTCTTTGGCCCGGCCCTCAAGCCCCAAAGCCCCCAATTTAAACTTAACGCTCACAATCCTCGCCAGAGGGTCCCTGATTGTGGGCGAGGAGTGGCAATAGTCACTCGAGGACACCTCCAAGGGGAAAAAGCGCTCGCATTTCTCATCACTGTCGAGGGCTTTGGGCCACGGCGTGCAAAACTTCTTCAAAGCCTCGCACTGTCTTTTGATCACGGGGGGCGTCAAGTGGAGGAAATTCGGGATTTTCATCAATTCCGCATTGCCGTACTTACCGGGGGCTGCGCCCTTCGGCACGTAACCTTGTCTGATAGGCAGGGGGACCGTGGCTGGGTGAAAGGATCGCGGGCCGGGCCAGACGTTGCCCCAGTCTTGATCAACGGCCATTTGGGTGCTTCGAGGGGGTGGAACTTCGGCCTTCCGGACCACACGGCGTTGAGTAGTCTGGCCTTTGCCATGTTTCAGGTTCAGGACGCGAAATTCCTCTGAAATTTTGGGTTAGAACATAACCTAAGTAGCGACAGAGTACCTTCGCGTTGGGGCTCACTGGAGGTGGAATACGCGAGGATGAGGTGTTTTTCGAGAGTTCTAAAAGCGATTTTGTCAATTTTTCGAGAGAAAGATAACATTTTTGAGAAAAAACTAAGCCATATGAGGTTAAATGTCAACAAACAGTGATGCCACCCATTAAAAAATGTGTTGTTTTTGTCGGGTTAAAATGTTTAAAATACACGACATATTATTTTTGGCTTGTTTTTATTTAATTTAAGACAAAGTAATGTTGATGATGATTTATTTAAATTTCAAAATTTCTTAACAATTTCACCAGAAGTGAAAGCCATACAGCTTTAGAAGTGAAAATTCCCTAGAAAAAAACTAGCAACACGAATGGCGTCTCGTTTGAATCTGATTAGCCTCTTTTGTTGCAAATTTTGTTTAAAACTCAAATAGCGCAAAAACTGTTAATGCAGAACTTGAAAGAGGTAATAATAATAAGAACACTGTTTGGTTAATGATATATTATCACTCAGCGTCTTTCCATGTAATTTTTAAAAAACATTCCAATTAGCGTAAACACAATAATACAAAATTACACAACAATACTTTAGATTTAACAACAATACTATAAACTCAACGTATTACGTCACTCAGTCAACTTGCTAGACCCTGCTTATATACATTACAAACTTTTTATAATATAAGCGTCATTTGTTATACTTAACAACATTTGTATTGGCATATTTTTAATAAAATAACAGACTCTGTGGTCAGTATAGTGGACAGAGCCTTTAGGATGAATAAAATTTAACAATAAAAATCCAATATTTGACAAACATTTCGTAACAGCTATTGTGCAGTAAAGATAAAAGTGCGTTTTATATGACGGACATAATTTGGTTTTAAAGACACGCAACTAGTACAAGCAGAGAAAAGAGCACAAGACACAAAATACCATAGATAGGACAGTCTCTCCACATATTCTAGGATACAATGCAGTTTTATTTACACGCGCCGGTACAAAATCATAAAAAATTTAATATCGTGTTGATGATCCCTTTCAATCACGGGCGAGTTTTTGAAGCAAAAAGTCTGCTTGTGCCCTGACATGAGTAATTTTTTTTTGATTTTTTAGGAACTTATATACACAAAAACAAAAAACTTCTGACGGGTTACAGGTTTACAGTTCACAATTCGGCGATTGGAGCCTCAATTACTGTATCACAATACGCAGAAGTTCCATTAGTTCAACTATTTACAGAAATTCACTAATGCATTGGTGGGCATAACGATATTGTCCGAAAACTCTCAAATTAATCAACTCAATCACAGACAAACATTTATACTAATCTAGATGTGCTACACTTTGTATACCTTGTCAACCATCGATATGAAACTGGATGGGTTCACACTTTTTTTCACAGATTTTAAAAGTGTTTTTCAAATGACATAACAACTACAATTATTATATGTACATTGGTACCCGCAATGTTCTTGCACATGGAGAACGACAAATCAAAACATTTACTTCAATGTGTGTGGCGACAAATATCGGAAAAAGTAATATTTATATGATTACATTATACATTCACAGTGTGTTTTCTTCAAAATTATCAAAAAAATATTCTAAAACAGTCTTAGTTTTTTTGATATTTGCAATCTAGAATCTTGCAATTGATAAAATTTATAAATTAAATAAATGCTTCTTCAGTGGCGCGGCGAGAGAAAGACTTTGGGGGCTAAAACTCCTCCCAGAACAAAATTAAGCAAAATTATTTTGTAGTTGTAATAAAACTAAATTATATTTTAGAAACAACCAAATTAAACATTCGAATTTTGAATTTCAATTATTTTCTCAAAAACTCAAACCTTATAATGTTTTATGCATACCTACATACAGGTGTCTTGGAGCTCCGTATTTCTTCGATTACTCTGACAGTAAAGAAGATAACTAAATGCGATTTTTTATGGACGATAGACATTTATTTTTTCTATGGTCCAAAAATATTTTTGTCATTATAGGTAATTTCTATATAGGGTGGCGCAACAAAATTATATTTTTTCTTATGGAACACTCGGAATATTATGCGTTTATTTGAAAGAATTTTTAATTCTAAGAAAATCCATACTAATTCAAATTAACAATAAAATATGGCGGGCGCATATAAAAACGCGAACTTTAAAATATAATACACACATTTTCTAATAAGTATAATAAGAGAGAAAGAGAGAGTAAATAAGAACCCAAAGCATAATAAGAGAGAGAAAGAGCTTAAGAACAAATAAGACAACAATGCTTATGCATAAGGAAAGCGCATATTACTAACTTAAAGAAGCAAAGATGGCGGGCGTATAAGAGAGCAAACTTTAAAACATGCATCCACAAAAATGTTAATATTAAAAAAGATAATAAAAAAATAAAGTAATAGTGTACAAGTAAACAAAAGGTAAGTTAAAAGAAACATAGAGAAAAGGTGAGTTTTGTAATAAAAATAAAGGAAATTTTTTTTTATTAATTGTTATTATTACTAACAATTCAAATAAATTTAAAAGATAAAAGCACCAGAGCTTCAAAAACAGAAACATAAGTGTATTAGTGAAATAAATAAGTACACAAAAGATAAATAAAATGAAATGTAAAGTAAAAGTAGCACGAAATGTATAATAAAAATTATAAAAATAAATAAAAACTTTTCATTATTTTGTAAATTTCGGCTAAAGTGCATTGACAATGGTTAATGTTTTAAACTATACGTGTTTTTTCACGGTGATATGAGTGTGTTGTGAACAGACGACAATTTTTTATAGGTTGGTATACGCCCGGCGCGGTGTCAAAAAATGTCAGAATAATAACTTTCAATGCGATGGTTCGTTCACAATCAAACTTTCTTAAATAGCTTTGACCACAAATAAAAAAAAAACACCCGTTATTTAAAAACAGTTTAAGTTTAATAAAGTAGTGTTTGACTATTAAGTCGTTTCACTGATTAATATTGTTTTGAATACAATTTTGTTTTTCCATGGCGGTCTTTGTTACAAATAAAATTCTTTAATTTGGAAAATAAACATAAAAGAAAATATGAGTGATCAAAGTTGGCCGAGGTTTTTGAAATTATACGAACCTAAGATTCTGACTTTTATAAACTTTTCTAAATAACTTTTTATGTTACTAAAAAGTTATCTTGGATAAAAGTGAAAAATCTTAGTTGGCCGATAATTTTGAAATTATTTTTTATCAAATTTTTATCGTGTTTGCAATACAATAGGTACTTTACAAAAAATAATAAGTTTTTAATAACTTCAAACTAAAAAATTATTTGTGTTTGCGCGCCAAAAAAATCTCTAATAAAACATTAAAGCACAACTAAATAAAACAACACAAAAATTGTGATGAAATGTCACTAGTCAAATGTGATTAAAAAAACTCATTCCTTTTTCATTACATTTTCTTCTAACAACGTAAAGTTAACTTGTTAAATTTTTCATTTGAACAAATACAGAGTGGAATTTTTAACTGGAATAAAATTCATAATTTGAATATGTGATTTTTGTAAAAAATCTTGAAACAGATCAATTTGTATTTTTTCTTGCACATCATTTCACACATATGGTTTTTGTTTATCTGCTTATTAATGCAATAAATGTTCAAAATGGGCACCGTTCCTTTCCGAGCAAAGTGATTTACCTAATTTTATTTCTAAAACGTTCCTTAAGGTCCTCAATGTAATTCTATTTTTTCGCAAATCACACTCGAAATGTTGCAAAACGTAGGGAATTTATGTTATGATGGTTTTGCAGTTTGTCAGGAAAGGAACGATATCCATTTTAAATATTTGTTGCATTAAATAGTATTCATCTTATAAAATTGATTTTATTTATTATCACGTAGGCTTTAAAAATTATCAGAAAATAAATAGTATATTGTATTCCTTGCAATACGATCTTTCAAATGAGGTGTCACTTGTCATACCATTACGTTTGAAAAAAAAAGTTATAGGTGGCTGTGCATTTCAGAAAGCAGATAAACAAAAACCATATGTGTCAAATGATGCACAAGGAAAAATATAAATCGACTCGTTTCATGATTTTCAAATTATGAATTTTATTCCAATTAAAAATTCCACTCTGTATAAGTACATCAGTGATAATAACTTCACTACGCAAATTTTTTTCGTAGGTAACCCTCCCTAAACTCAATCTCTGGCTGCGCCACTGTGCTTCTTTTATTATTTCTTCGTATTTAATAATTAATATTGCAAACGGAACAATGAGTAATTTTTAAGAAAACACACCACATTGGGGGGGGGATTTCCTCAGTTGTTGGGACGGCTTGTAATACTAAACCTTGATACAGGACACACTTAGATTAAAATTCGTTTTTTTGTGCGATTGTAGCCCGTTTCGAGCTTTTCCCACAAAAGTTTTTCTGTAAAACTGCGCTACTCTTCAGTCTTTACGAGACGGTGCACTCCTCGACTCCATTATGCGCGTCCCTGATCTGCTGTTTGGTCTTCCTGCTGGCCCTCCGTATGAGGGACCTCGACCTGGGCTTGGCCGTCTCTCTAGCCTCCGAGGACCCTCCTTGTTTGTCCTTTTCGGGGGCAGGACTCGCCGCCCTTCTGGCCCCTTTACTCGCCGAAACGTACGCGCTGGATCGGCGTTTCAAGCCACTGGAATCTTCGGTATCTCGAGGAAATATCCTCGAGAGCGTCAGAAACGAACGGAATATTTCCTTGATGTTGATGTCGTCCTTTGCCGAACACTCTAGCACTTTCACTCTGAAACAGCAAGTGACAAGTTTGCAAATAACGTGCAAAATGCAGGATAAGTTATCGCTAAAGCTCGGATTATATGCACGAGAAAGTCGTGAAATATGAGCATATACAAGGTGATTCTTTTAGGGCCTATATTCGAAACTTTTTAACTTCTAATGCAGATAGAAATTTGAAATTTTGTACACAACCCAAATCAACCAGTCTGAGTTCAACTAAATTATTTTCAAAATGGCTGAACTTCCGGAACTACGAGAAATTGGCGCCAACTTTGAAATTTTAAATGGTAACCAATTATTTTTATTGCATTTTTTAATTCTCCTCTCCAAACTGAGTAAAATGTACTTAGTTGTTAGTACTTATCTATCATAGTTTTTGACATATGTCAATTTTTTGCTCAAAATTTTCATTTGCAGAGGTTTATTAAAAACATCACAGCTCTTGAACCGTTTGCAATAAGTAAATAATTTTTCTTGCATTTGATAACCAAAGGTTCGAAGAGTTTCCTAAAATTTTCAAAATTGTCAAATTGCAAAGCTTATATGATTTTTTGAAAATGATATGTAACAAACAGCTATAACTCAGTTTTTTCAAATAAAATGACCCCATTTTCTCAACGGCAATCGAAAGTACATCGATTTGTAGAAGGACTTTTATCAACATGTCCTATATCCATCTCTTACAGTTTCTGAAATAATCACGAAAAACGTGGTTTTGTTTTTTATTTTTATAGTAAATCACGTAGCCTTTGGAAAATGATCAAAACGAATTAAAGATTTATTAGTCTACACAACACCCATCCGGAATTACAAAGAATTGAGGCGGCATTTAATAATCTTCAACCAAATGAACTAATGGAAGCCACTCAAATCAGTTCACCATCGAGTTTTGGACTGTTTGAAAATGGTAAACATATCGAACATCTGTATTAATTATAAGTATATCTTATTGTATTTTTCCAAAGCCTACGTGATTAACTATAAAAATAAAAACATTAACATGTTTTTTGTGATTATTTCAAAAACTATAAGAGATAGGTATAGGACATGTTGATAAAAGTCCTTCTACAAATTGATGTAGTTTTGATTGCCGTTGAGAAAATAGAGTCATTTTGTTTGAAAAAACTGAGTTAAAGCTGTTTGTTAATGATCATTTTCAAAAAATCATACTAGCCTTGCAATTTGACAGTCAACAATTTTGAAAATTCTAGAAAACTTTTCGAACCTTTGGTTTTCGAATGCAACAAAAAATATTCAAAGGGTTCAAGAGCTGTGATGTTTTGAATGAACCCCTGCAAGTGAAAATTTTGACCAAAAAATTGACATATGTCAAAAACTATGATAGTTAAGTACTAACAACTAGGTACATTTTACTTAGTTTAAAGAGGAGAATTCAAAAATGCAATAAAAATAAGTGGGTACCATTTAAAATTTGAAAGTTGGCGCCAATTTCTCGTAGTTCCGGAAGTTCAGCCATTTTGAAAATAATTTAGTTGAACTCAGACTGGTTGATTTGGGTTGTGTACAAAATTTCAAATTCCTATCTGCATTAGAAGTTAAAAAGTTTCTAATGTAGGCCCTAAAAGAATCACCTTGTATATGCACGTATTTTTACAAAAATATGCATAAAATATTAAAAAATATGCTCTAATATATGCCAAATATGCATCGATATGCAAAATTTTTAACAAAAAAAATCAAAGTTGGGATAAATTTTTATCCTCGAATACACTAAATTTTGTATTTTTGTCATCTTGAACTGCACACGATAAATGAAAGAATAAATAAATTGGTTTGGCGTGAGACAAGCCATTTTAATAACCTAGTAATTAAACCCTTTGTACTTTTCAGATCACATCACGTTTTTTGCTTAAAGTATTTATTTTTTGAAAAAACTAATTGATGAATTATAAAGTTCTACAAAAATGTGATGTTTTATCAAAAATATTTTTTTTTAATTTCTATTATTTTGTTTTTGAGTTCTACAAAAATATTTATTTTTTTAAATGGCAACCCACCAAAAAAACATTTTTCTCATGAAGGTCATGATCTAAGCGATTACAACTATCTACTTTATATTAAATTATTTTTTTTACATATGTATATCGCAATTTAGACAACAAAAATCGAAGAACTCAAAAACAAAACAAAATTTTGTTCTTATAAAAAAATCATTTTTTATATTACTTTAATTTATATTAATTATTATTTTTTGGAAACAAATGATTTAAAAAAAAAACGCTTAGTTCAATATTTTATATTCACCCAGTATAAAACGAATTTAAAAAGGAAACACTCAGCAGGGTACTAATTTTTTGAGTTTGGCTTACGAATTAACGGTTGTTTTCTCTTTAAAATATTTTGTAATCGGATCATTTTTCTTAAAATGTCCAATTTTTAACTTGAACTGAAATTTTTAATCGGAAATTAGTGATTTGAAGAAAATATGCACAAATATGCAATATTTCCTAAAATATGCACCAAGTTGCCAAAATATGCAAAATATGCATTTTTTATTTAGCTTATTTTAATCAAAAAACATTAGATATGCATAGAAAACTTACAATTTTGTGGATTTACCTCTTAATAACAAATATGCATTTTGCATATAATCCGAGCCTTAGTTATCCCCTACCAAACTGTGTTAACAAAGAAATTGGAGTCAATGAAGGGTGGGGGAGATTCCATTCGTGGGTAATCGGCGGTTATTAGCGAAAACACGTTTTCGAAATAAACACTTTTTTTCCAAAAAAATTTGCTAAAACTGGCTAAAAATTTAGCAAATTAGATTGAAATTGGCATTATTTTAGCTTGTTTTGCTCGATTTAGTTTGTTTTTTAACCGGAGATTTTGCCAAAACATGATTAGATTGCCAAAAAATAAACCGAAAAACACAAAATTTGGTCGAAGATGGTGTTACTTGACCTTTTCAAGTTTTTATATCAAACTAAAATCTGTTTTTACTAAAATAAACCAAAAAAAAAACACAAAATCAAGTTTTCAAGCGTTTTGCATGTTTTACAGGTAATAATGTACCTATTTATATATATATGTACCTATTTATAAGTCAAAAAAAAGTAGAATTTGACCAAAATGTGTCATTTGCCTTTTTAAGTATCTTTTTGAGAAGATTTGCAAAATTTTAATTAAAAAACGTAAACATTTGACAGTAACAGAAAAACATAAATGTTGTAAGGTTCTGAAAATATGTGCAAATCTGACAACTTTTTAGCTCGGATCTAGTGAATTCAATATTTCGAGTTGGCAACTATGCTGTAAATCACAGACCACTTTGATCAGAAAGCAGAGTGAGGTTAAATCTGGTCAAATTTCAGCATTTTTTGTGATTTTCATTCTTAATCTGATGATTTTTTAGTAGTTTCAATAAAAATGAAAATAAGTCGAAAAATCACCTCATTAGTTAAGAAAATAATTCTATTTATTTTTTTTTAATGTGATTTTACTCAAATGGTCAAACAATCACTTAATAAGGTAGAAAAGTTCATTATTTTGCCCTTTTGGGCATTTTTTGTACGCTTTTCAGTCAAAAACGGAATTATTTTATAAAATTTTGTTACAATCAAACCGATATTTCACCAAATTAGGCCATAAATTATGTTATTTTTGCATTTTTAGAGTGTTTAAGAGCGTTTTTGAAATAAATACAATTTTTTTTTTAATTTTGCTAAAACTGGTTAAAAATTTACCAAATTAAATTGAATTTGACATTATTTTAGCTTGTTTTGCTTGATTTAGTTTGTTTTTTAACCAGACACTTATTTATTTTGCAAGATTTTGCTAAAATATCATTAAAAATTACAAAAATAAGTCTAAATTGATGTTATTTTGTTGGATTTAGCTCATTTTGAGTAAGATTTTGCCAAAAAATTAACCGAAAAACACAAAAGTTGGTCGAAAATGGTGTTACTTGACCTTTTCAAATCTTTATATCGAATTCAAATCTGTTTGTTTCGAGATTTTGCTAAAGTTTTCAAGTGTTTTAGCATGTTTTTCAGGTAATGACGTAACTATTTCGTAAAGTTTCGTTAAAAAAACTCAAACCCAAGATTCAAGGAAACGGAACAAACAATATTACCCGCCACTGGTTTCTAACGTTATTGCCATGACAACTAACAATTTTTATTTTTGTTTCTATAGTTACACATATATTTTAGTAGTGTTTCTATGGCAACTATATAAATACGCGCACTTAGGCGGCTCGTCTAGGGTGGAACAGGGGTTCAATTTTGTTTATAATTTTATTCAATTATTTTATAAATACACAAAAAATTGACTGAAACAGACTAGAAATGTTCATTTTCGCCCTGGTGATACATGAACCAATCATTTAAATTTCAGAGGTTGAACAACGTCCTAAATTAAACAAACTCGTTATCCATAACAAGCCGAATCCCATTACTTGAAGGGTCACGCGTACATAAAAAATCTTTATTTCCCCATCACCCTCGTAAACGCAGAAACAGCCAGGATTACACCCCATGTTAATTAATAACAACGGAGTTGCGGTTTGAAATTGTCAAACTTTCTCGTGTTTAGTCCGTGAAATCATAATTACGAGCAAACTTGCGACTAATCTTCTCGAAAAAAATGTGATTAGATTGAGGAGACCTGAGATGTATTTAAGATCGCAGATCAAAGAAGATACGCTTTAAGGGATCGAAATGGCTGGGAACGCAAATGACATTGGAAATTTGTCGGAAAAATTACGAGGTGGGGCAACAATGATACTGTTGACAAAATGAGAACAACCTCAAGCCATTTTCGGATGAAATCTCTCCGGCTGTGTGCCACTCTATTTAATTAGATGGAAAGGTAAGAAGCAATTTTCCTGATGACGGAATAAACGATGCAATAAGACAAAGCGGGTCTCTAACTTAATTTTTCAAGAATTTGGGAGACTACAAACAAACATTAATTGATCGTTATACCTAGTCTGTTTTTTTACGAGAAGGCCAAACCGTTTTAACGTTAGCACCATTAACAAATTAATTTATGGTAATTTTCATAAAAAGGGTTGGCAGTTCAGGGTTTTTATTTAATTTGAAAAAATGTCATTAAACGTCAGCAAAAAATTTAGAGAACAAAACACAAAAACAAAGACAAGTTCGGTACCACTAAGCGAGGGGCCGTTAACCTGAAAAAAATGTGTATTGATTTCAATTCTAAAAAAAAATTACTCTAGTTCTAATTTAATTTTGTAATTGCAATATAATTCTTGTAATTCCAAATCAATTTCGGTTGTAAAAAAGGTTTTAGTTTTTAGCAATTTCAAAAACAATTTCAGTAATTCTAGAAAATTTCAGTAATCCACAAATAATTTCAATAATTCTGTAAAAATTGTACCCAAATTCTAGTAATTCTAATATTCTATCTAAATTCCATTATTTTTATATTAATTTCCGTAATTCCAACTTAATTTTTTAAATTTCAAAATAGTTCCTTTAATTCTAAATTAATTCCGATAGTAAAAAATTCAAGGTAAAAAAAGAAAAAAATATCTTCAATAATTAAAAAAAAACGTAGAAATTCCAAAAAGAATTCCAGTAATTCATAAACAACTGCAATAATTTATAACAATCCAAAGATAATTTTTATAATTCTAAATAATTTTAGTTGATTTTTAAAAAATTTAGAGTTAACAGTTTTTGGAAATTTGGAGACGACAGAAGTGCAGAAGTCAAAAACAGAGCAATTTTTACCAAGAATTTGACGAGATCAAAATAAAAAAGATTGCAAAATAACTTTGGAACATGTACAAATTTCGGGCTTATTTCAATCAATTACACAAAATTTATTGCCTTTATGATATCTGCTTGAATCTTTTTGCAAAATAACTTTTTTCTGTTTAGATACTCTTTTGTTATTAAACTTTTTTCTGTTTAGAAAATCTTTTTTTATTAAACTTATTTTAACAGGATGCTTATTTTTGCCTACAACATTTTACTTACAATGACTTTTTCATATCAATATTATTATCACTGAATTTTGTCTTTATAGACATTAAGTTGTGATTCTGTTTTGGCAAAAATTCTCGAACAGATCAATTTTTTTTTTAATACAAAATTCTCAACTTGATTTAAAAATTTTTTGTTATACATATTATGTTTA